TCTCAGGTGACGAGTTGTATCTAATGAAGGTGACGAGTTGTATCTAATGAAGGTGACGAGTTGTATCTCAGGTGACGAGTTGTATCTAATGAAGGTGACGAGTTGTATCTAATGAAGGTGACGAGTTGTATCTAATGAAGGTGACGAGTTGTATCTCAGGTGACGAGTTGTATCTCATGAAGGTGACGAGTTGTATCTCATGAAGGTGACGAGTTGTATCTAATGAAGGTGACGAGTTGTATCTCATGAAGGTGACGAGTTGTATCTCAGGTGACGAGTTGTATCTCAGGTGACGAGTTGTATCTAATGAAGGTGACGAGTTGTATCTCAGGTGACGAGTTGTATCTCAGGTGACGAGTTGTATCTAATGAAGGTGACGAGTTGTATCTCATGAAGGTGACGAGTTGTATCTCATGTGACGAGTTGTATCTCATGAAGGTGACGAGTTGTATCTCATGAAGGTGACGAGTTGTATCTCATGAAGGTGACGAGTTGTATCTCATGAAGGTGACGAGTTGTATCTAATGAAGGTGACGAGTTGTATCTAATGAAGGTGACGAGTTGTATCTAATGAAGGTGACGAGTTGTATCTAATGAAGGTGACGAGTTGTATCTCAGGTGACGAGTTGTATCTAATGAAGGTGACGAGTTGTATCTAATGAAGGTGACGAGTTGTATCTAATGAAGGTGACGAGTTGTATCTCAGGTGACGAGTTGTATCTCATGAAGGTGACGAGTTGTATCTCAGGTGACGAGTTGTATCTAATGAAGGTGACGAGTTGTATCTCATGAAGGTGACGAGTTGTATCTAATGAAGGTGACGAGTTGTATTCTAGGTGGCGAGTTGTATCTCAGGTGACGAGTTGTATCTAATGAAGGTGACGAGTTGTATCTCATGAAGGTGACGAGTTGTATCTCATGTGACGAGTTGTATCTCATGAAGGTGACGAGTTGTATCTCATGAAGGTGACGAGTTGTATCTCATGAAGGTGACGAGTTGTATCTAATGAAGGTGACGAGTTGTATCTAATGAAGGTGACGAGTTGTATCTAATGAAGGTGACGAGTTGTATCTCATGTGACGAGTTGTATCTCATGAAGGTGACGAGTTGTATCTCATGTGACGAGTTGTATCTCAGGTGACGAGTTGTATCTAATGAAGGTGACGAGTTGTATCTCATGAAGGTGACGAGTTGTATCTCAGGTGACGAGTTGTATCTCAGGTGACGAGTTGTATCTAATGAAGGTGACGAGTTGTATCTCAGGTGACGAGTTGTATCTCATGAAGGTGACGAGTTGTATCTCAGGTGACGAGTTGTATCTCAGGTGACGAGTTGTATCTAATGAAGGTGACGAGTTGTATCTCAGGTGACGAGTTGTATCTCATGAAGGTGACGAGTTGTATCTCAGGTGACGAGTTGTATCTCAGGTGACGAGTTGTATCTAATGAAGGTGACGAGTTGTATCTCATGTGACGAGTTGTATCTCATGTGACGAGTTGTATCTCATGTGACGAGTTGTATCTCATGTGACGAGTTGTATCTCAGGTGACGAGTTGTATCTCAGGTGACGAGTTGTATCTCATGTGACGAGTTGTATCTCATGTGACGAGTTGTATCTCAGGTGACGAGTTGTATCTCAGGTGACGAGTTGTATCTCATGTGACGAGTTGTATCTCAGGTGACGAGTTGTATCTCAGGTGACGAGTTGTATCTCATGAAGGTGACGAGTTGTATCTCATGTGACGAGTTGTATCTAATGAAGGTGACGAGTTGTATCTCATGAAGGTGACGAGTTGTATCTCATGAAGGTGACGAGTTGTATCTCATGAAGGTGACGAGTTGTATCTAATGAAGGTGACGAGTTGTATCTAATGAAGGTGACGAGTTGTATCTAATGAAGGTGACGAGTTGTATCTAATGAAGGTGACGAGTTGTATCTAATGAAGGTGACGAGTTGTATCTCAGGTGACGAGTTGTATCTAATGAAGGTGACGAGTTGTATCTAATGAAGGTGACGAGTTGTATCTAATGAAGGTGACGAGTTGTATCTAATGAAGGTGACGAGTTGTATCTAATGAAGGTGACGAGTTGTATCTCAGGTGACGAGTTGTATCTAATGAAGGTGACGAGTTGTATCTAATGAAGGTGACGAGTTGTATCTCAGGTGACGAGTTGTATCTCATGAAGGTGACGAGTTGTATCTCATGAAGGTGACGAGTTGTATCTAATGAAGGTGACGAGTTGTATCTCATGAAGGTGACGAGTTGTATCTCATGAAGGTGACGAGTTGTATCTCAGGTGACGAGTTGTATCTCAGGTGACGAGTTGTATCTAATGAAGGTGACGAGTTGTATCTCAGGTGACGAGTTGTATCTCATGAAGGTGACGAGTTGTATCTCATGTGACGAGTTGTATCTCATGAAGGTGACGAGTTGTATCTCATGAAGGTGACGAGTTGTATCTCATGAAGGTGACGAGTTGTATCTCATGAAGGTGACG